TTAAAAAATGTATTTCTGTAATATTTTAAGCTTAAAATATTTGTTTCTAATTTTTTTTTTTTATTATTCAGTTGAGCTAGTTTGAACATTCATGGATCTATAACACCAATCAATACAGTCCTGCATCAAGGTTGGAAGATCATTAGAGAAGGATTCTGTGTCATACCAGAGTTGGTCAATGCCAACCCATCTTGCTCAATGACTAGGTGTCCATAACCATAGATCACTCACAAGTTCTTGTTTTGCTCAACATTATCCTGCAGAGGATATTCTGCATTTGTGCAAGATTGTAGAAATATCAGGGATGGGTCCATAGAGCTGTGATTTAGTTGGATGTTGTTCCCAAGACATTTTAAGTATAGATCTCAGCATCCTAGTTCCATCAAGCTTAGACTCTAGGGCTTTAGTTAACACCACCTTTACAGTGGCTCAAAAGAATCTCCACTTGAGATTGTCTGGTAGATCAGATTTACAGATTACATTCATTTTATTCAAGGTAGCCCAGGCTATGTGAATTTTCACATCCTTTTCACTAGATGTTGGACTCTATGTCAATGCCTCTAAAACTAAATTTGTAGTCTTCAACCAGCCAAAGCTCAATACAATCTGTCTCAGGTGAATCAATAAAATCTGTTGAGTCTTTTATATATCTAGGAAGTGAGATAAATTCTACTGAAATGAATGAAACTTTACATCAGTTAATATTCCTCAAATAAAGTATCAGAAAATTAGAATTAAAATTAAAAGAGTTCCTTCGAGTCAATAATAACTTCAGGCAAACAAGTTGACTAATATCAGAAATAATTCTATATCTTTAACCATTAACACACTGCAGGTGACAATAATTGCCATAGAGTTCTCTCCCTTTGCTACTTTAGGTGCATTCTGTCACCTTGAGACGGTTGCTATAAATAAACTTGTCAACTGTTATTTCTGGTCTTTTAAGCTGGGAATCACCTACTACTAACAAGGCTAAACTTCCATTTTTCAACACCATTTTGAATTGTTCTAGACTCTACATGAGGTGTAACATCAATTAAGCCCACGTTGGCTGCGTTGATATCCAACAAAGCCTTTATTCAGGAGTTTTCTTTGATTAGAACTCTGAAAATGATTCTGATTTTACTTGAGTGGATATTGATGGTGAAGTGGTCAAAGATGATAACCATGCTAGTGACATGGAGAAAAGTGATGATGACCACTAGCGGCTACTATCATCCATGCCTGACTAATTTTATGGAAGCACTGGCAACCATCGATATACCTGATAGCCTTTCTGAAGGTGAATTATTTTGTCTATTTATAAACGACAAAATAATAACTTTATTCATCAACGAGACAAATAAATATGAATCAGGTGAAAGAAAGAGCAAACGAATGCTCGTGTCTTCACATGAGGAAACATGTCACTTTTTTGACAAAATGAAAGCCTTTTTAGGGATTTTGCTTCTTATTCCACCCCCAGAAGTCCACAAAGAATAATAAAAGTTAAAGTACATTGAATTATTTATGTATTTTTTAATATATTTGTTTTTTATTTTGCATTTCAATTTTTTTATTTTCAACATCAAAACATTTTTTTTTCTCAATTAATCAATAAAGGGCCTTGCTAGAAGATAATGCTGAAATCCACTTGGGCATCTGGTTAAAGTGAGGCCCAGGGGACAATGAGGGGGGGGACTGCAGTGACATCCATGAATCAACCAAGGCTGGCATTTCTGGGCAAACACCATCAAGCTAGTTGCAGATAATAATTTTATGGCTATAAGTAGTAGAAGAAGAGAGTAAGGAAATGATTCTAAGTCACTTGTTGATAGGAGCAGGTGCGGTGCATATCGGTAAAGAAATAAAATCTTGTTGGATACAATCCAGAATTTGGATGATAGTAGAATTTGATCAAGAATTTTGGTTAAGATAACAGTTTGGTCAAGTACACCCCTCCACACCAAATAACAAGGAAGGAATTATAATTATCCAAGAAATCTGGAAAATATCAAAAAACTTTTTCTGAAAAAGGACATTTCCAATGATGTGAAGTTGGGGCAGGTGAATGTTTGCTAGTTATGCCCCCCAGTTGAAGGAGCCCAATTGGTGAACAAAAGAGAGTGGGTGTAAATAGATTATGCCCATTGAGGGGTGTTGGTATAAGGTATGAATAAGAGAAGGGAGGAGTAAGTGGGGGCAGGTTGACACCTTGCAATTTCTACACTCTGGAGGAAGGATTCACCAAATTTGGACATGCAAATTGCTTCCCAGGACACCATCAGCAGCGAGTTCCACTTGGATATTTTGAAGATCTTGGAAACTGAGATCACATCAGACCCCCACTCTGATGTTGGTTGAGCGTCCATCAAAGTGTTAGATCAGAGGGGAATTGCAGATTAGCAGCTGAGATGTGCTTCCATTACACCAAAGGAGGCAATCACTTTGCTAATCCACATGTGACTTGCTGCCATGGAGAACTCTGACTCATGCCTTGTTCCAGACTACATAGAGTGCCCTAATGAAAAAATTGGAAGTCTCTATGTAATGCCAGAGAGAGAGAGAGAGAGCGTGGGAGATGAGTGCTTCATCAGCATTCCATGATTTGCTGCCTGAAGAACTCTCTGACTTAAAGCTTCAAACCCTGACTCCAAATGGAACAAAGAACAAAATGTAATGAAATTAGACTCCGAGAAATGCTATAATATCATCCTAGCTGAACAACAATTAATCCAGTAAATATCTGGTGACGATTCAATCCTTGCCGACCTTGTCATCAATAGAAACACAACATAGGACATTAGAGGCTTGATCAAAGTGACCAAGTCCATGGTTAGCTGCAAGATTTAATTGCAGACACACTGGTGATCAAGGATAGGATGGCATGTAGCAAGGATGTCCTGTAGCATTATATTAGTAGAATTGTAAGTCTCCATGCTGCCTTTGGAGGCATTAAATTTTTGAATAAATTCCAATTGTTGTAAGAACTCCACCCATACTTCCAGATTCATAATGTGAGCTTGAAGCCACTCTAGAATTTTACGCTTGTATGAAATGTCAAACATTCCTTCAATCAGACTTAGCAAAATTAGCTTCTCTTTGATAGACGTTTGTTCCAAACCCATTCTTTCAAACTCACAATATCTTGACACATGTTTCAATTGTTGCACATATTGCATAATAGTTTTGTCCTGTCTCTGTCTACTTTTGAAAAATTTAGTTCTTTCTAATATGACCAATCTTTTTTTTTTGTTGTACATTTGCTTTTATGATGGCAGCAATTTCTTCATATGCTAAATCTTCCAACACTTTGGGATTGACCATGACAGAAATTTTTTATGACCTCAAACACCACTGAAGCCCAAAATACATCTGTAACATCATTTTCTCCTTCACTAGCTTTGGTGTCCTTTAACTTTTTTATTCTCACCAATGTTTTGAAACACTTAAGCCAGGTTTCTACATATTCAGGATCCTCCATTGTGGTTAAGTAACTGATCAATGATGGCATATTGTTATGACAGGTATTCTCTCTGACAGATTTAGTCTTGTCGAGAAAAGATAACTCTCCTGTAGGTATAGCGATACTGCCTTTTACATTTTATCTAATTTACATATCACTACACAGTTGTATCAGTATAGGAAGAGATACTCAATCATTTCAGTATAGAAAGAGAGAGAGAGGCAATCGTATGAGTATAGAAAGAGAGAGAGAGGCAATGGTATCAGTATAGAAAGAGAGAGGCAATCATATCAGTATAGAAAGAGAGAGAGGCAATCGTATCAGTATAGAGAGAGAGAGAGGTAATCGTATCAGTATAGAGAGAGAGAGAGGTAATCGTATCAGTATAGAGAGAGAGAGAGGTAATCGTATCAGTATAAAGAGAGAGAGAGAAGCAATCGTATCAATATAGAGAGAGAGAGGTAATCGTATCAGTATAGAAAGTGAGAGTCAAACATTTCCGCATTGAAAGAGGGAGAGACAATACTGAAGTTAAATGAGAGTAAGTAAGTAAAGATTATTTACAGTACACTATTTATATTCAGACTATTGTCCTCATCTTTGTTGCTATTACATTGTTTCAGTCATTGTGCCTTCCAGCCTTCATCAGGTGTATATTGATCCATGTAACTTACAAGGAATACAGAACTATTATTATTATTAAATCTATGGGGGTAGACTGTTCTCATCCTGCTGCCCATGTCTACGGATATTTCATCTTGTTCTTATTTTTAGTACTGCTCAGTTATTGCTTGCCTTGTTTCCACTGAGTCCAAGTACATACTGCCCGGCCAAGTGATTCAACTCACAATTACTATATCACCAAATTCACAAACCAACACTTTAATCTACTCAAATATTGTCCCATAAAAATAAGAACCAGACTAGATATCTATTGATATGGGCAGTGGAATGAGAAGAGTCTATCCCCATAGATTAAATAAAGGGTTCAGTTTGTAATTTCCTGTAGGTTGCCCAGATTGATATACACCTGATGTAGGCCGGAAGTCACAATGGGTAAAATGTTATAAACAACAGCAAAGATGAAAACAGTAGTCCATGTATTATAAATAGTGTAAATAATAACTTCTCATGTTAGAAATTCAGACAGAATTTTCTGTTATGTGTAGAATATTCTTTTCATTTAATAATACAAAACCAAGGGGAATATTATAAGAGGCACATTGTTACTTAAATTCATCATCTCTTGACAATAAATGATTATATATTGTAGACTCATAGACTGTGTCTGGCAATACAGGTGTCCACTCACCAGAAGACATTCAATTATTTCTTTCTGCTTTCCTTTCCCTTTCAGTCGACATTATCAAGACAGGCACCATAACTGTACTTGATATTATTGCTATTGTTATTGGCTCCTCTCTACCATCATCAATGTCACACATCTGGTTTATATTCTTGCTAATATCACCGAAGTTAAGTAATGGTCAGGCTAGATGGGTAACTGCTTGGGAATACAAGGTGCTGTAAGTTTGGATGTGTGGGTGGTATAGATTATGGCCATATCACGTTGAAACACCGATTCTCATATGATCACCTAAGTTAAGCAACATCTAGCTTGGTTAGTACCTAGATGGGTGACCACTTGGCAATACCAAGTTCTCTACGCTTCTATGCATGGGTGGTATGACTTATGGCCATATCATGTTGAAATAGTGGTTCTTGTATGATCACCTAAGTTAAGCAACGTTGAACCTGGTCAGTACCTGGGTGGGTGACCACTTGGCAATACCAAGTGCTCTAAGTTTGGATGTGCGGGTGGTATGGCTTATGGCCATATCACATTGAAACACTGGTTGTCTTATGATCACTTAAGTTAAGCAATGTCAAATATGGTCAGTACCAACATGGGTGACTGCTTAGCATTACAGTCACCTTAGCTTTGGTGCAGCCATAATCCATACTCCTCCCCATCCAAGTTGTGGAGTACGGATTATGGCCATATCAATTTGAAACACTGGTTGTCATAAGATCGTTGAAGTTAAGCAATGTCAAACCTAATCATTAACTAGATGGGGGATTGCTGGTGTTGTAAGCATGGATGTGCAGATGGTGTAAAAATAAAAATAAGAGAGCCAAGCTTCAATTCCAGTTGGGTTTGTTGTATTTGCTTTTGTAAAAATATCATTTAGGAAAGGTATGAATCCACCTCTTTTCCCCCACCAGCTATGGGTTAATTATTAGGACTTATACAAGTGAATCATTATTATTAACAAAATATTTTTACATGCTAAAAACGTTTTCTGCCTTTAAATAACAAGTAAAAGGTTGATAAGCTATAAAATAACAAATTAATTAATCAAAGCTTATTGAAAACTGCATATATATTTAATTATTGAGAAAAAAGATATCATTAGAATACAGTTACCAGTAATAACATCTATTTATGTGGTGAACAGGTCCCACTTCTAGAACAATAAAGAAATTTGATATTTTTCAATTCTAAAAAATATCTTAGGTAGAGGAAAGTCTAAAAAATACAAAAAAATGTCAGAAAAAAATTCTTCACTGTTTTTATGGGAAGACCAATTAATGTAAATAGAGCCCAGTTTATCTCTTTTATTTTTATTTTTGTTGGAAAACCCAATTCTCAAACTCTCTGCTCCAGGAAAGAATGAATATATATATATTATGAAAATATTGTTTTATGCTATATTTATGGGTTAAAGTGCTGAATTCCAAAGATAGAGCATATGCAAATGTAAAAGTGGACATTAAGCACAAACTTCAGGCTTGAAGATTGTACTTAAGCAAGCTGACTGTGATTGTGGGGTGGTGAATTCAATGCTCACTATATATATATATATATATATATATATATATATATATATATATATATATATATGTGTGTGTGTGTGTGTGTGTGTGTGTGTGTGTGTGTATTTTGCCAAACCCTCCAATAACAAAAGAATAATGATAAAAACTAATATATATATATATATATATATATATATATATATATATATATATACACACACACACACACACATTTTTTTTTGTTTTTCATTTTTTGCTTCCAAACACAATTCAGAAACACATTCCTCCAAATATATCACAAAATAGTAAGTGTCCATTGATTAAGTCTAGAATAAAAAATGCAATAGACTATCAAGAAAAGACTTTCTTTTCATAGCAAATAGCAAAGACGGAAAAAGTCAAAAATACTTTTTTGTGGACTATGGCTTCACTTAAAGAGTGATGTAAATTTTATTGTTGGTGCATGCAGAGATTTAGGATAAAAATACTCCCACCTGTGTGAGGATGTCTGTCACAGAAAGCTTGTATCAATTAGAAACATTATATTAAGCAAAAAAAATAAAAATAAAAATAATGCAGTGGTTAGTGCAGAGGGCAAGAAAAGCATGGTTCAATGTTCAATTCCTGGAAGAAGACATCCTGAAGATGAATGACATTCTAAACATTTTCAAAGAAATTGCAGTTAAAAAAATGTATTTCATTTGGATGTGAGTTCTCAGCTGCTGTTACTTATGAAATAAAAATTAATAAAGATGAACATTAGAATTAAAAATAATCTAAAATTTTACCAAGACTATATGTATACAAGTACGAATTCAATAGGGGGAAAAAAATGATGAAAACTTTTTCTCATTGATAAAGAACCAGACAACATGCATTGAACAGATGTCAAAATTCGTTGAAAAATGCACACCTACCATACCCAGACTTAAACACTTTTTCGAATGTAACTCATAATTGATACAACAATAGTTAATAAAAATAAACATGCTACCTCCCCTGTCTAAATGATTGGATTTCTCTGTATCCTTGGAAACAAAAAAATATGAATTGTATGTGCGTTTAAAATAGTAAATTAAAAAATAAGTTATTCCAAAATTCGCTTGAAGATGAAATACAACTAATGCTTTAAATTTAATTATAAAATTAAATTTGAAGATTTTAGCTTCGGTTTTTGAAACATGGTAATTCCTGTGTAGCGAAGAAACCCTATTTTAAATAAGTTAATTTATAATATATATACTCTGTAAATTGACATTGAACACTGTTGTGTAAAAATAAAAATATCAATAAGAACACTGGATTATATATCTTACAGTTCATTATTTTTATTACAATATAGATGGACAGATGTATAGACCATTTCCATTCCAGGAATGCTGATAAAGACATGAAAACAAGAAAGGATAATCAGGAAAAAAGATATATAAAGTGTAGGAAATGGAGAAAACGTTACTAAGGAGAAAAGTCAAAAGAGTGAAATAAACTGAGGAATCGATTATGAGAAGAAAAGAAAATAGTGTGACAGAAACTGAGAAAACGTTAATGTAGAGAAAGAAAAATAGGGTGACGGAAACTCAGAAAATGGTAATGTGGAGAGATAACAATAGGGTGAAGGAAACAAAGAAAACGTTAATATGGAGAAAGAACAATACTGTGACGGAAACTGAGAAAACGTTAATGTGGAGAATAAACAATAATGTGACGGTAACTGATAAAAGTAAAACGTTAATGTTGAGAAAAAACGAAAGTCTGACGAAAACTGATAAAAAGTTAATGTGGAGAAAGAACAATAGTGACGGAAACTGAGAAAACGTTTATGTGGAGAAAGAAGAATAGTTTGTAGGAAACTGAGAAGACGTTAATGTTGAGAAAGAACAATAATGTGAAGGAAACTGAGAAAATGTTAATGTTGAGAAAGAACAATAATGTGAAGGAAACTGAGAAGATGTTAATTTGGAGAAAGAACAATAGTGTGAAGGAAACTGAGAAAACGTTAATGTTGAGAAATAACAATAATGTGAAGGAAACTGATAAAACGTTAATTTGGAGAAAGAACGATAGTCTGACAGAAACTGAGAAAAAGTTAATGTGGAGAATGAAGAATAGCGCGACAGAAACGGAGAAAACGTTAATATGAAGAAAGAAAAATATGGTGAAGGTAATTAAGAAAACGTTAATGTGGAGAAAGGACAATAATGTGGTGGAAACTGAGAAAACGTTAATGTGGAGAAAGAAAATTGTGTGAAGGAAACTGATAAAACGTTAATGTGAAGAAAGAACAATAGTGTGACGGAAACTGAGAAAACGTTAATGTGGAAAAAGAACAACAGTGTGACGGAAACTGATAAAACGTTACGGTTAATCTGAGGAAAAAACAATAATGTGATGGAAACTGATAAATCTTTAATATGGAGAAAGAACAATAGTGTCAAGAAAATTAAAGAAAACGTTAATGTGGAGAAAGAACAATAGTGTGGCGGAAACTGAGAAAACATTAATGTGGAGAAAGAACAATAGTGTGAAGGAAACTGAGAAAACGTTAATGTGGAGAAAAAACAATAATGTGACGGAAACTGATAAATCTTTAATGTGGAGAACAACAACAGTGTCAAGAAAATTAAAGAAAACGTTAATGTGGTGAAAGAGCAATAGTGTCAAGAAAATTAAGAAAACGTTGTTGTGGAGAAAGAACAATAATTTGACGGAAACTGATAAAACGTTAATGTGGAGAAGTGTGACAAAAAATGACTCTTCTTCACATATTTGCTGAAATTCTAAAATGTTCATAATAATGGCATGTTAATTCTTTACTACCATTCATAATTTACTCCAGGCTATGTTCAAAGTTTGTGATGATGTTAAAGAAACCCTTGAATAAAAAAACTTGAAAAAGATATTAATATTCTGAATTTTTTAAAAATATACATTGTATATTTGAAAAGAACGTAACCTGTCTTCTTATCAACATGGCTAGAAAAGAAGGAATAATAGAGTCAATAGTTTTTTTGCAATTCGTTTTTTGCACCATAGTGACTAGATATTTTCTCTAACACAAACAGCCAACAAACTGATCCGGAATTCATCTGTAGATTTTGCGATAGACAATGACCAGGTTAATGATCTTTGAAAGAAAAGTACGAGTAATTATAGGACAACCATTTTAACATTTGTTAAATTAAAGACGTAACAACTACTGTTATTACATTACGTTTGCAATGTATTATGTGCTAATATTTTAGTAAGATTAAGAAGCAGCAAAAATAGCATTAAAAACAAGGATTACCTCCCTTGGACCCCATACAAAATTTCTTGCTTTTTTTTTCTCCGATATTTTCTTTTTTTGTTCTCTTTCTGTTGTATATAAAATTACGATTTTGTTTGTAGTAATTAAGTTAACGTAAAGTTATCTAGATCATAACTGCATAAAAAAGTAATAAGAAAAAGTACATGATTATATTTTTTTCATAGCTAGTTCAGCAACAGGGACTGAAGAAGACTTTATAGAAGGAACCGGAAACCTAATCCTAAAAAAATAGAGAATACACCTCTATTCTTGTTCAAAAGACCAGGGTGGAGTGTAAACGAGACGATAGGCGAACCTATCTAATCCTATTGAAGAAACAAAAATAGTAAATAAAATTTCAGTGTTTTAGAGAAGCATGGAGTTGAAGTTGACTTTAGAAAGTAACAGAAAGCCTATCTTAAACAGGAAAAAAGGGATAAAACTCTACTGTTCAAAAGACTGAGGAGGAGCCTGAACCAGACGATAGGTGAAATTATCTACCACGAAATATATATATATGTCATTAAAATAATAATTTTGAGACGTCTGTTGAGAACTTTTTAGCAGTTACTTATGTGTGTGTATATACAGGGTGTGGTGGATAAATTGTCATGTAAATTATGCAAAATTGAAAATAACAGTGACATCTCATTTTACAGATATTTACCAAAATTGCACAAAAATATCTTGGAATACT